CACGTGAGGACATTCGGAGCCGCCATTAAGCCCTCAAAGAGACGAAGTCCGGGCGAGAAGTCGGAGTCGGAGTAATTAATTCCTCGCGCCTGGAAATTTCGTTGGAGGACCAGCGACGTGGGTTCAACATCTCCGTTCCACACTTCTCTCTCTCTCTCTCTCTCTCTCTCTCTCTGTCTCTCGTAATAACCGCTTGGCGACACTGCGCTTTTCCAGATCGTCCTTCGTTCAGCGAGAAAAAGGCTACCACTGAACTGCAGACTTTCTAGATTTTCCATCGAATCGATGTCTCTTTCTTTTAGATGCTCCTTTCTTTTCTGTAACACTTGAATTGTTTCTTTTCCGATGCTTGTAATTTAAATTGTTTGCCGTGTCGAACGAGCGGTGGAAACGACGGGACTCGTTTCATCGGTGACCAGATAAATTAAACGGGAGCCAAGAAACGGCGAGTTTCCCTTATCCTTTCGTGCAACGACCGGGAAGGGTGAGGATTGAAATTGCGATGGACAAGCGTTTTAATTGCTCTCTTGCTGAAAAAGTCGAAAAGGGATACCAAGGGGAAAGAAAGGGGGAGCTCAACAATTTTTCCCTCGAAGAACCTCGTTTCTTAATATTCCTCTCGCAATAAACCGTTTAGCTTCCACCCGTTCTGCCCTGTATAAATTCGAAACACAGAACGGCACGTCAGCCAACTCGCTCTCTACTTCGAAACAGTTCGTGTTTCAGCCGTGAGACCGCCGGTTCGATCGATCGATTCGACCCACCCTCTTCCACCATACCGTAGGATGGCGATTCCTGATTTTTCGATCCCTCGTGCTTTCGATCTCCTCCGTTTGCCGGAGTTTGGTCAAGAAAAACTGTACCGCATGAGGAGGCAGGGACGGAGGAGAAATCTGCCCGCGAGAATTTATCACGGGCACGGAATCTCTCTCGACTCGAATCCAATTTTCCAGATATACGAGGGTACAACGTTGTACCTTCTCGTCGTTATTTCTCGCGACCGGCCCTCTCGCCGTTTTCCTCTCCTTGTTTACCGACCGCGTTTTCCGCGGTAGCCGCTTGTCAAAAGGAGATATACTGACCGGCGAGCCGGGATCGAGGTGGCGACTTTCCTTCCGAGTAGACTTTCCCCCGGTAGCAACACGCGCGAGCAGAACAATAGATTCCTACGGGAACGAGGACGGGGCAACGCTTCGATAAGCAGTCGATATATCGCAAGCTCTCCTCCGGTCCTTTTCCTTCCACGCGAGCCAAGGAATATGCTGCTGATACCGCACTCTGCTCTATCCGATTCGATTGCCC